TACTTCTATTTAATGAAACCATCAATTAAATCCCTTACCCATAAGTTTTCAGTAATTAATATAAAAGTTAAATATATATATATATATATATATATATATATTCACATAGATGTAGCCAAGACTACATTATCATAATATGATCATTAGACACCCCATGAAAAGGCTTTGAAGAAGATAGGTGGGTCACGAATAAGATATTCGAAATTTTTGAGATATCTATATATGTATCCGATATGTATAAATATTCGATTTTGATATCCGTATCTGATCCGTAATTTTTGGATATTCAAAACTTCGGATATCCGTAAAAATCATAGATATTTGCAGATGTTCGTATTTGACCTAAATGTTATAAAATTTTGAATTAAAATTAAATAAAAAACTCAAACGCAAATAAAATATATAATCTATTTAATATAAATGATATTTATAATTTAAAATTCATAATTTTAAACATTACAAATCTAACTCAAATACGAGTACAATCATAATCTATCAAATAGAAATATATTCTAAAATCAAAATTTAAAACATTAAACATAATAAATCTTAATATTCAAAAGATTAAATATTATAAATTTCAATATATATAAAATATTTCTTAAATCTTCTTAAAAAATATGTAAATATTAAATATTTTAAATCTATATACCAAATTATTCTTCTATTTAATAATATTATTATAAAATACGGATCGAACATGTCAGATAATTCAATTTTGATATCCGTATTCGATCCGTATCCGATAAATATTTTCAAATGAATATCTGTATCCGATCTGTAAACAACAGATATCCGAATATAAGAATCGAATAGTGGATCGATTCGGTTTTTTCGGATATTTTGTCCATCCTGAATGAAGGTTAGAAGTCACCCCAACGAAAGAAATAAGTCAAAAGTCATGGGCCAAAAAATAATATTATTAACATAAATGTAAATATTGGTTGGTCCAAACAAAAAAGTTCAGATGAAATTTTCTTTGTCCCCCTTCTTTTATAAAGTTTTTGACATGAAAAAAAGCTTGATTGTTATAATAAAAGAATATTGTTAAAGAAAATTTTAATTTGGCCATCTAATTCTACAACATCTCAAACTTTAAATAAAATTTAAGATAAAGATCATATCCAAATTGATATTGTTATGGAAAAAGAAAATTTTATATCTTTCTTGTAATGAATAAAAATCCTCATTGAAGTAATTTAATAATGGCCAAACGTTATGGCATGGCTCATATTTTATACACTCTCTCTCCCCCTATGTCTGTCTTTTTTCTATTTAAATATTTTCATTTCCCGATTGTTTGCTCGTCATGTCCCCCGATTTAGAGGACAATGGATTAAAATAATAATAAATTCTATCTCAATGGCCTTTTTTTCTGTAAAAGAATAGCCTTGATGTGACACATTTATTAAATATTTGGAAAAAATAATATTTAAATAAAGAATAGCCTTAGAGTAAAACATATATGTATATATATATGTGGAAATTTTGGAATTCATTTAATTTTTTAAACTAACATTTTTGTTTATATAAAGTTTGGGTTTAGAAAGATTATAAAATTAAAATGTGAAACGTGTGAAAATAATGTTGACGTTCCCCAAATTGATACATTTCTTTTTACAGATTTAAATTTTAGTAACACAAAAAAAAATTGAAGAAATTGTTCAGCATGTGTGTTATGTACAGATGAGGAATATGCAATATTTTTTTAGAAAAGAAGGTACAGAAACAGAAATGGTGAAAACAAACAGATGACTTCATGTAAAGGAAATAGCACTTCCGTCAGCACTTTACATTTTAGAATTTAATTATTATTTGCTGTAAAATCTAAATTATTGCTAGACATTAAAAAATATTTCTAATAGAATACATTTTATTTTACAAACAAATACCACCACTAATTTGGGATAATATTGAATTCCAATTAATTATATGCCAAAAAAAAATTTAGCCAATTTGCATAAAAACATGAGTTTGCACTTTCTTTATCCCATCATGATTGTCCCACCAAGACCTATTCAAAAGGGTTTCTTTCAAAACTTTTTCCCACTGTCCAAACAGAAACTTCTTCTTCTCCCCTCCCTCTCTCTCTCTACATCTCTCTCTCTCTCTCTCTCTCTCTGATTCTCCATTCAATTTCACATGTTTTTTCATGCTGATCTCATCACTACTGACCATCTTATTCCCCCCAACAAATAACCAAACCCACTTCCAAAAAAAATCCCAATCTCTCTCTCTCTCTCTCTCTCTCAAGAAAATGGTTCGGACACGTCGGAGATTACCATCACCTCTTGTGATCTTCTGTTTCTTTGTTTTGTTCTCAACCCTCTTCTGGAATCACTGCGAAGGTTCGAGGGCCACAAGCTTTATCTTCACAAACCCTAATTATTATAACCCTCGAAGTCATCATCCAAGAACGGCGAGAGGACATTTCTTGGGTTTCTTGCCCAAACACTTACCGGTTCCTGCCTCTGGCCCTTCAAGAAAACACAACGAAATTGGCCTTCAAGATTTCATGTCTCCATGAAGGTACTTTTGCAAAAACATATTAGCATTCAAGCTTTCTTACTATATATATATATATATAATTATAGAGAGAGAGAGAGACAGAGACATGTATGTATACACAATCACTCCATCTGAGATGTGTTCTTAACGTGGGATTAGGGTTTTTTTTTCTGGGATTTTGTTTGCATGTAATTTTTTTAGTGTAGTTGAAGAGATTATGTCACCAGGGTTTTGGCAGAAGCTCTTAGCTCGATTTCATGTCGACGTTGTTCGGGTTATATATGTAACTTTCTAAGAGTTTTAAACTCTTTCTGTATATGTAAAGGATTAAGACACAAAGCGACAATCTCGTTGTTGTTTTTGGAGATTTATTATTTTCTAATAATCTCTTTCACTAATGATGTTATTTCTAGAGAAATGAATGCCATGTTAAAATTTTATATAAATAGTTAAAGTCTAATTTTGGCTTCTAATCAAAGGTAAAAGAAAAATGCAGTGTTTGCGGAACAAATAATATTAATAAATTAATAAATAACTGGCGATTCCATGCATAAATTTTGCCAATTAATTTGGATACGCACGCGCGCGCATACATACATACATATACATATATATATGTTTTCATTTTATGAATTAAATGAATTGGATCGTATTCATTTATTCTGTGGGAGAAGATTGGGTCGCTACCGGTTCAAGCAATGAGATGGGAAAGAAACAGAAATTATTTTTCTCATCATCAAAGGAAAATTAATAATAATAATAATAGTAATAATAATAATAATAATAATAATAATAATAATAATAATAATAATAATAATAAGGTTGTCCGAAATAGCACGCAAGGGGTTGAATGTGTAGCGGTATAATTGCATTAGTCACATCGACAGGATTCATTATCCGCACGTCGTATCCTATGTTCTAGATCGTTTGAATAAATCGATATGTGCGACCAAAAATATTTTTAATTTTAGAATAAAATAAGAAACCATAAACCGTCGCTAAAGAACCAAAAAAAAAAAAGACATAATCAAAGGTTCATCCTAGGACATATGCTGCCCATATACCCTTATGAATTTGATATACTAAAACGTTACCATATGAATGAAGGTATTATACCATATGCTACATTTAAAAGCCACATCCAACATAATTTATACTAAAAAGTAAAAAAATAATATAATGTGAATTTGATCTAGTGTGACCATGTCACAATAATAATAATAATAATAATAATAATAATAATAATAATAATAATAATAATAATAATAATAATAATAATAATAATAATAATAATAATAATAATAATAATAATAATAATAATAATAATAATAATAATAATAATAATAATAATAATAATAAGGTTGTCCGAAATAGCACGCAAGGGGTTGAATGTGTAGCGGTATAATTGCATTAGTCACATCGACAGGATTCATTATCCGCACGTCGTATCCTATGTTCTCTTTTCTTTTTGCTCTTAAATATTTGTTCCAATTGCTTTATTTTACATTGTTATTATTTTGTTAATTTATAATATTGGCAATTAAGTCGTTGTAAATGATAGTGGGAGATTATTATTATTATTATTATTATTATTATTATTATTATTATTATTATTATTGTGACATGGTCACACTAGATCAAATTCACATTATATTATTTTTTTACTTTTTAGTATAAATTATGTTGGATGTGGCTTTTAAATGTAGCATATGGTATAATACCTTCATTCATATGGTAACGTTTTAGTATATCAAATTCATAAGGGTATATGGGCAGCATATGTCCTAGGATGAACCTTTGATTATGTCTTTTTTTTTTTTGGCTTCTTTAGCGACGGTTTATGGTTTCTTATTTTATTCTAAAATTAAAAATATTTTTGGTCGCACATATCGATTTATTCAAAACTAAAATAAAAACTAATAACTTTATTTTACAATTATAAAATAAAATCGAGAAATTTTATTGACATATTTTACAGTTATATCGTTTTTCACTAATCTATATTATATAATTAATTTTATTTTATGATCAAGAATATGTGTGCGTATATATATATATATAATTAATTTTGCTAGATGTGCATGCCATCAAACCTTTTCCAGGTTTTATGGCAAAGAAAATTTGTTTAGAATATTTTATTAAGAAAATATAAAATCTATAATAGATAAGCCGAAAGGTGCGACAATGCATCTCTATGGGTCCAGTTCTTTATTTGTTAATGTATCTTTTTTTTTTGGTAATGTAAAATAATTATTGAAAAGGTTAACCTTAACTTTAGTAAATATACATTTATTTCATTTTTTAAACATTGATCTCAATTTCCTCTTTGGTCAGGTTTCTTTGTAAAAGATTTTCGCCCATAAATTTAAGATATGAGTACAAACAAAATTTAAAATGAAAAACACTAAAAAATATTAATTTATAAATTATATATTTTAAATATCAAATATTCATATATATAAATAAATATTTAGTTATATATGTAGAAGCTCCTATATGACCATCTAATTTAGGGACTTCAATTCAATCAAAAGAACACAGAAGCATAATCAACTTTTCTTCTTCACTCAATCTTTTCTGCAGCATGGCTTCACACTGCAACACTCTCTTCCCTTCACGTAAAAATGGACAGTCTGATCTTTCACATGACTCAGGGCCAAGCCAATTCTCGTCCCCGACCATGACCACGACAATGTTTCAGTGGCTCGGGCCGAGAGCCCGTTATTGCTTAGGTCCAAAACTTGCAAATGCTTGGCCATGGAGAGAGCAACAGAGAGTTCTCTGATGAAATAACACTCTGATGGAGGCAACAATGCTGAGGTGTTAATGAGTGAAGATTTCTCTTCTTGCTCGTCTTCTTCGCTATCTGCAACTTCGAGATCATCCTCACAATGCATATCGGTTTTACATTGATGTTGTTCGTTCTCTAGTCTCCGTATTTCTCCCGCCATTGATGCGGGTTTGCAAGTTCTGTGATTCTGATTTGCCTCTTCTGAGCTTTCTTTTACAGGTTGGTCAAATGGGAGGAGGGCGAGGTTCTCGTCCATTTCTGCGTTCTCGGCGAGGTTAAGCTCTTCCAGATTTTTATTATCTGCGAAACGGATAGTTGATAGGTTAGAAGGACCGAGTGGTTTTAGTAGCAAATGGAACAGAATGACGGGTTTAAAGATAGAAAGTTCAGACCTGAGAGTGCTTGAATTATGCGAAGAATTCCCGAGAGCCGAAGTTGACACTTGTTTAGGATCAAAGTTTTTATGCTGCAACAGGGATTTCTAAGCAACGTAGCCAGAGCACCGACTCCCTGTTTTCACAGCGAGAAAATCGTGTTTCTTATAAGAATACGGATTCAATAAGGATATCAATGCCAACATGAAATCAAATGTACCTGAAATTTGCTAATTCGATTTCAAGATTCTCAAGCAATAGTTGCTTGAATGAAAAGAAAAGAGTTTTGAGGATTCCTCGTGGATCTGAGCGTACCTCTTCAGTGATAGAATTCCCTCCAACGTTTAGCTCGAGAATGCTGTAAGCTAGAGAGCTTTCGCTGTTCAGTTTAAGAAAGAAAGCAGATGATAGTCTGCTACATGAGAGGTCGAGCTTTACAGCTTCTTCCTTCTGATAACAAATCGATTCAGTGACTTTTACTGCTCCGTCCTGGAAAAATGCAAAAAACAAAAAACGATCAGTAAGGATCTAGTCAATGAACTGTTCCGCATATAACAAAGAAGCTTCTCTTACTGTTCCTATTCCACTGCCTCCAAGTGAAAGCCGTGACAAAGATGGAGTCTTAGCAAATCTGGGAAGGCTATCCACAACTTGGTTGCTCAGCTTCACGCCGTTCATACTTAACTCTGCGAAGCTACATTGAAGAAATATTTGAAAGCATTTTCATATCTATAGTTAGACCAATTTACAAAACACAGAAAAGAAAGCTAAAGACGGTTCATGTTTTTTCTCTGAACCTGCGTAGAGTAGCTAGTTTGGCCAAGAGATTTTGAATAGCATTCCCTGATATAGGATTGTTATATCCTGTCACAAAGATCACAGTATAACATCTTTAGCAGCAAAGAAACAAATTAAATGAGAAATCTATATAGGAGATGTATACCTATGTAGAGCTGTGATAGTCCCGTTTCAGAATCCAAGGCTTGGACAATCTTTTGGATTGTTCTAGATGTGAGTGAACACTGTTCTACATTCAAGCTGTAAAGTGCTAAAAAAGAATAAAAGAAAAAAAAAACGAAGGCTATAAGTTATGACTATCAATCTATCCCTTGTGTATTTCATGCATAATTCGAGTTTGTAGTTCATCAGTGAGAACCCAGAAAAAAGAATTACTATTAGCGTCTCACAGGTTACATACAAATGAAGAAGAATGAGAGCAACTTTACCCTTGCAGCTTTTCAATATGGTCGAAAGGTATGACCCACATGCATCGGTAAGTCGATTTCTGGATATATTAAGGACTTCCAACCGATTGAATAGCACAGGGCATTCACAAATCTGGTTAACAATAGTTAGATTAGACAACAAGAAAGCATGAAAATGAAACTTTTGTATTGTGGAGCTAATAGCCTACCTGAAACAAAGCAGTCGGACCGAATCGGTTGCAGTGCAGATCCAAAGTCAAAGCACCATATCTCTGGGTTGACGATGCAAAAAGTTGCTTCAGTGTCTCTATGGATCCATTTCCTAAAATCCCAAGACAGAATGTCGGTAAATAATCTAATTTTAAAGTAATTCCATACCATATTATCACCTGACTCAATTTCCCAGAGACAAATTAATGCAACTTTAACTCGGATTTTAGGCACATTTTACGCAAAAAAAGAGACAAACCTAACATATTGTGAGAGAGATCCAGCATAGCAACTGTGTCGTGTACATGGAGGGAACGCAACAGTGGAGCAGCTGATATATCTTGCAGCTCACATTCAGACACATTGACTTCGTCTTCTACCTGACAAATATACAAGCAGTAGATAAACAATGCTCAGGTTCCAAGCCATTTTAATAGCTAGACTCCAAAAGTTCGCGAAGCAGGTCAAGAGAAGACAAGTTTCATTCACTGACTAGTGAATTTCGCCGAAGAAAATATGTAGAGAACCTAGGTTAAATCCTATACATATTACCATGCCGCCGGTATACTCAGATGGTCTGACACATGTGCTCACCTCTGAGATATATAGTTTCTTAAGCAATTTCATGTTGGGTGTCTCTGACAACTCCTGGCAACAGTCCATGTATAGTTTCATTAGGCGCTTGTGAACCCATCCTGGAACATATAAGTCAGTTACATAGCTAGCTTATAAGACAACAGCAACTCTGGAAGGGATGATTGAAGGACCAAAGTCCAGAGAAAAAGAACTTGATGCCTACCATTAGTAAAAGCTTCAATCACAACACTTCCAGCCGAACCTATAAGAGTGTTGTATAACTCCAACGGTCCAATTCTTCCACCACATTCTATGTCTTGAATGATTGGCAACAGACCTGTTCATATCCGAATCAAATGTGTGATGATTCAAACTAATTTCCAGGGCCAGTATAAAACTCACAAGAAACCTATATAGGCATTTGTTCTGTCAAAATAAGGAGAAAGTAATAAATTTTCTTTCCTAAAAGAAGGAAATTTTTTTAAACAGGAACAGAGATTTGTCGAGATGTGAAGAGTGGAATCATGAACCAGAGGATTCATCAATAACTGCATTCAGTATTATCTACTGAGAAAAAGAAAAGAGTCCATACCTTTGGTTTTCTTTTCATCAGGAAGCTCTAGATAGTACAAGCAAGCAAGTGTCACCTTCAAAGATTCCATGGATAACTTATCATTGACAAAACATGAGCGTAATAGGTGTTGCAAGCCGCTCTCGAATCTGAATATTATTTTTTGCTGCAACCAACAAAAACATTTATTTTGTCATGGAAGTAGTACAAAAGAAAGATTTAGCTCAACAGATCACATGGTCATGGTAAGTACAAAACAGGTCATGGATGCTTACATCATCTGCTTTGCAGTGGAAGTTCATGAGAGCAGCTCCATGTTTTTGTTGCATGCCCGTAGAATCCCCAGTATCACATTGAGATCCTCTTGTACCGCAGTCAGCAGTATTAACAGCTTTAGTATTCTCCAAAGATCCACAATTGTTTCCACGTATAGCAACCTCAACAGGATCAAGAGGTTTATACGAGCATGAACTTTCTTCAACATTATTTAGAGGGCTTGTAGATTTATCCTTACAGTAAACTGCATATCATTTAAATAATTTTCTACGCTAATAAGACTTGACAAAATATATTATCAGGGAAAAACTGTATTTACAAAAACTACATACCTCTTTCAGAGACCTCAACATTCTGCTTTGGAAATTTGAGAGAACCGGCTTTTGGTGATCCCACCTCATACTCGTTTTCACTTTCATCATCTGAGAGGATTACCCGTATACGCTTGTGCCCAGTGGCTGTGTGTTGACTGCCTGTTTTTTCAGATAACTCCTTTGTAGAAGCACTTGTCTGCCCAATATGAGCATCTTGCTCTGGGTTATCTTTTTTCCTCTTGGACAAACGTTTCATGGGACGGGGAAATGAAACCAGTGGTGCATCATCATTTTCACTATCGAAATCTGCTAATGGTTTTGATCTGGTTGAATGTGATGTTTGGAGATGTGCATTCGACCTGTCATTTGACAAGTCCTCATCCCCTTCTGACTCGGTCTCAGGACATCCATCTTCTGCAGCATGTTCTGTCATCATACTTTCTTTTAACCGCTTTAGATTTTCCACTTCGACCTTCAATTTCCTAAATAATAGATAATGTACATAAGAAACAATTGATTTGTATGTGAACTATGAAGCTGAGTAGAAAAATAAGACAAGTCAGTCTACAATGCTGTGCAACCAATCAGAAGTCAAGCAAATAAAGACTAGAGATTAAGAAAGACCAGATCGCCTAAATGAGTAAATCAGTTTGCATCTCCAATTTTACCTGGCCTGTTCAGAATTCTCAAATCTGATCATATGGCTGTAATGCATATTTTCCAATGCTGAAATCTGTACCGAAGGAAGATTGGCTTCTAAAGCAATTCTGCAAGATACACAAGAACACTTTGTCAACTCAGATGTATCCAGTAAAAGACCGTCAATTCAATTCACTATAAAGAGAAAAATATCTCTAAGTATCTATAACACAGAAAACTAGCAAAATTTTGAAAATAAAACACAATCTGGTAATAGTGACTCCCAGCATAAGCAAGATGTTTGAAAAATTAAGAACTTCAACTTCTTATGCTAATAGCCACTGAAAACTTGGACCAAGAACTCTGCCACACTAAACTGATGGAATTGTCAAACCTTTCAAGGATGACTGATGTTTAGATCTGTTCTATTTGAAATAACATTCCAGATAAAGACAGTTCTTGAGCATAATTCAATAAATGACTCTCCTGTACTGTTTAGAAGTGAAATGATCTACCTGTAACCCTCTTCAAATGCTTTTAGTGCTCCATTATATTCACCAATACAGTCTAGAGCACCACCAATATTAATTTTTGCTACTGCTTGACCCTGCAAACAATCAGCACAAGTAAAAAACTCGAGTGAAGAAAGGGTGAAAGCTACAAACATAGATATTCCTATCATCGTAAGACCATTGTCTTGGCCCCCATAAACATGTTCGATAACGGACTCCCTACAGATTTCTGGTTTTACAAACCAACTTCATATGAAAATAGCGAAACATAGGTTATGATAATAAAGAGTGCAAGTAAACTGATCTAACCTCAAGATTACCAATTGACTTGCAACAATCCCAACTCTTAGTGTACCATTTAAGTGCCTTCTTGAAATTTCTGAGCTTTTGGTGTGACTCTCCGACGACCGAGAAAGCATCACTCAGTTTTTCCTTGTCACAGAGTTCATTTGATAATCTCTTCTTCCTTTTCGAAAATTCAAGATGCTAAACATTCAAAGAGGAAACAAAAATCTCTTGAGTTGCGTATAAACTTTAGTCGCATTTTCCTATGTTACTTTTCAATGTAGCATGGGTAGAACAGAATTGCAGCTGTACAATATTGCATCCCAATTAATTCACACAGGCTACCCATTTGATCGGATCAATGCTTTCTCTTAGATGATTTAGAACTCAGATTTTACATTTCAAATTTTTTGTTATCCAGAGAGAGTAAATAACAATAAATTCACTTTGCTTCTTTCATCCGTCTCCTAACTTCTATCATACGACAGAGACTCAACAGAATCCCAGAAACCTGGATCAAAAGTAATATGTTGACAGCCACCTATTCTACAGTGTACTCATGACATTGGAATGAGAGTCAGCATAAATCTAGTTAAGCAGTTTTATGCATTTGTAGATTTCACAATATGGCAGCTTCAGAATAAAACAATACTAAAGGAAGTTTGTAGTCAATGTAGTGAAATGCGAGAAGAGTTTAAGGAATGAAACTCACCTTAACCCATGCAGATATCACGCTAGATTTCTCAATAAGAAGATCAAGACATGCATTAACCTGAAGCATACGCTTTCGTTCTTCTGGGGTACCTTTAGCATCATTCATTTCTAGTGACAACTTCTTAAACTTAAGCTCAACTTCCCTCATTTCTTCCATTACCTTCTTGGCTTGTTTGACTGTACTAATATTTTGCTCAATCTGTTCAACCAATGCACTCTCATCTTCCATGGATTTGGCTAGGATAAGAGCTCTACCATAACATGAAAGTGCCTCTTCATACTTCTGAACCCTGTTCTGCAGTTCCCCAAGATTAATATACCCTTTGGCTTCGCCTTGGCGGTGACCGATTTTCTGACAGATCTTAATATCCATCTCGATGTGTTCCTTTGCTTCACCCCACTTTCTCAACTCCATGTAAACATTTCCAAGATTATGGTGAAGCCTACTGCGTCCAGCGTGATCTTCGCTCACCTCCTCTTCATCGCAAATTTTCACCCCTTTTGTGAGTATGTCATGAGCTGCTTCCAAATTATCAAGATCCAATTCTAGCATTCCTATGTTATTATGTGCGTCAATGTATTCTTCGAGAAAAGATGATCCACCAGCAGGTGGATTCCCCTTGAGAATCTCTGCAAGTTCCATAGACAACTTAAAGTACTTTTTCGCATTTCGAATGGCATCATGATCATCCTCGAATTTCGAAAACATTTCGTGGTATGTACGACCGAGCTGAGTACAAGCACGTTGCTTCTCTGCAGCATCATTACCATCCTCAGCAAGCTGCAAATGCTTCTTCTGGGAAAACCCAAAAACGAAAGCAATATAACTCGACTAAGAATCCATAATCTCAAATCATTCAATGGGGCAAAGAGCCAATAACTAGTTGAACAATCTACAACCTCTGAGTATATTAAAGCTTCATCAATCAAATCGAAGCTGAAGAAATAGCGAATCGGAGAGGTTATATATCACCTGATAAATCAAGGCTTGCTTGAAATCGCCGAGACGAAGATAAACCTCGCCGAGAGACTGACAAGTCGGAAGCACGTCTTTCTCATGCAACTGCTTGACAGAGATCTCGTAATCGATCCGAAGCCATTTGAGAGCTTCGACGTACTCACCTCCGTTCTTGAGGATATCTCCGACCACGTTTGCCCACCGTGCTTCTTCGCGCCGGTTTCCAATCTCCTTGGCGCTCCGGTACGACCGCTTCGCCGCACTTAGCTGTATCTCCAACGGAGCCATCGATGCAAATCGGATTTGGGAAAATCGCAGATAGGATTTCGGACAAAATCCGATTTTGATTCACGAGAGGGAATGGATTTGTTGGTCTACGTCGACTACAAGGGGTTTTTGGAATTTTGATTTTTTGTTTTTTTTTTCCCTTCAAAGACCAAATTCATCCCGCCAAAACTCCAAGGGCGAATTAAAAGTCTGAAATTGCAATTAGGTCCAAAAGATATGATCTTCTTCTTGTGTTTCCCCTTGGTTTTAGTTCTAAGCTTAAAGTCGCCTGCTATTATACCTTTTGTTTCCGAACTGAACCATCCAAAAATTTCAAACAATATTGATTTTAGAAAACCGAAAATTTCAAAACAGAACCAAATTGAATAATAATAAAGACAGAAAATTGAAAATTTTATTTTAAAAAAAATAGATATATATTATTAATAAAACCGATCAAAACCGAATAGAATACAATAACAAAATAAACAAAATGGATATGCTGACCATCCAAATTCGAATTCCACTTGGCAAATCACATGTTATAAAATAAACAAAATGATAAACATTTTTATTGGAACCAAATAAAACAACCCGATGAATTAATATACTGAATCCAAACCGAATACCATCCTTATATCAACATTCTCAATCGGATTAATGTTTCAATCCTATTTAATAATATTTAACTCGTACTCGGTTAATTAATTAAAACAAAGACGAAAACCCAAATATCTATACTAATATATATAAAAATAAAAAAGATTAAGTGATTCTTTGACGTGACAACAAAAAAACACACAACGCAGAAAAGCCCTTCATCCCAAAAAGAAAACTTTCTACACTTTTGAAAGGAACAAAGAGCCTTTTTCTTGAAGAAAAAAAAAAGAATCGAACTCTTTCGAGATTTTTTTTTGGCTAACACTCAACAACAACCTGTTTGCTGCATCTTCTTATGAATCAATTTCTTCTTCGTCTCCTTTATCGCTTCCTCTCTTCTCCTCGCTATCTCCTTCATCTCTTCCCGGTACCTCGCCTCGATCTTCTCGATTTCTTGCCTGAATTCCCCGTCTTCCTCGAAGATTATCGACTCCGTTTGCGATGCTCGGGACCCCCGAGACGACATCCTCTTCCATCCGCTCCCTCCCTCGTTCGATGACGCGGAAGCATAAACCGACTCCAGTTCGTGGTCTTCACCCGCCGCCGCCGTGCTCGAGTTGTTCGGGTCCCCGAAATGCGGGCAACCCGAGGACCATGAGTGACTGATCGAGTCGCAAGCGTTGTGGAACGTGGTCTCGTCGGGTTTCTGGGTCGGCGGCGGCTGGGTACCGTTCTGATTAGCTCTCAAGTTCTGGCTCCGGTGCAACGGAACGAGATGATCGATCGGGACATCGGTTTTCCAACTCGGGATTAGGTTAACGAGGAGTATGTCGATGAGTTCGGCTATGAACGTTACGTTCTGGTCAGTGAGTTCGAGCTGCTCGACCATCTCGCTCGATACTTTTGACGCTGTGTCGCCGTCCTGATAGAACAGGAAATGGATGTTCCTCACTCGTCCTGAGTAGAGAAATCCCAAATAAATAACCAAATAAAGCTATAAAATGCCACATAAACATATGAACTTTCAAAGTGTCATAAAAATATACGAACTTTTAACCTGATATATACTCACCGTTCTCGTCGACTATACGAAGAATTAGTGAAACCGAATGCTCGTCATTTTCTTCGCCTTTAAGGACGAAGAAGTTTCCACGCTTTGCCCGTCTAACTTCGACGCACCTCGATCCCGAATTGTCGCTTGAATTAACAATGGGAAGGTTACTATCATCGTCAAGATCCATAGAAGAAGGTCGATTTCGCGCTGAAGGAGGTCCTTCGGACATTAGACAACGATCTCCGAACGCTCCTTCCTTTGGCATCACGATGTCGGGAAGTAGCAGTGGGTTATTCATCGTTAAACCGCTCACATGAAGAAAGGGATCCATCAGAAGCTCCTTCGCCGATAATCTTTCGGATGCGGGCAACAAGCACTTCTCGATAAACTGTTTCACTATCACATCTTTGATCCTAGAGAGCGAAGCCGGTTTTATCCCCTAAACCAAGATTCACAGAGAAAAAAAACAGTCAGGTAATCTCGTCGATAACCACATTGGGAATTACAGAAACGACATTGCTGCTGTTACTTACCGATGAAACTTTCTTGTATATCTGAGCAGAGTTTCGGCATTCACTATAAGGGTACTCGAAGGTAACCATCTCCAACATGCACATCCCGAACGAATAAATATCAGCGAGCTCGTTGTAATTCTCATCGTAAAGCTCTGGCGCCATAAACTCCGGGGTTCCTATCCGAAAGAGAGGAATTAGTGATAAACCCACTAGCCATTTACTGTAGTATTTTCTTAAACTTTTTGCAGAGCTTAGGAACCAGAATACAATTAGAACATATAGTCTATCAATGAAGGTAACACATTTAGTCCAGCTTCAGAGTTTTGGAAAAAACCAGAATGGAGAATATATTGTAATTGGTACAAAAAGATCTAAAAACCGGAAGCAAAAAGTAAACCATACCGATAACGCTTTTGGCGTTAGGTTGCTCCATGACAGTGGCTAAACCAAGATCCCCGATTTTTACTTCTCCGTGGTTACCGTTGATGAAAATGTTATCACATTTGAGATCCCGATGTATAATTGGTGGCTCTTGACTGTGAAGATATTTCAAACCTGTTAAAATCTGTCTCGCCCAACACTTCACCGCCTTCATATTCACCTTTTTGTGTTTCTTACGGTACCTAAAACCGAAATACCAGTTAAAACTCCATAGCAGTAATACCCGTAAAGAGAAAAACAACTCGGCAAAGAGATACATACTGTCGGAGGCTTCCCGAAGTGAATAACTCGGTAATTATGTTAACTGTCTTGTTCTTATCATCGATCCACGAGTTATAGAACCTTATAATGTTATTGTGCTTCAACGATTTCAAAAGACGAACTTCGGAATATAGCCTCTCTAGGTCATCTGGTGACTGCAGAACATCGTCAATCCGTACTTGATTCCACGCGACTTCGATGCCATCCACTTCATCGAATGCCTTATACCTGATTCATCGAGTTAAGACATATGACTTTACATACTGAGAAATATGCAGAGAACATAAAAAAAGGATCTTGTATCTTGAATTTTTTTGAAGAACACTCCTATTACATAATACGAACACTTCTGTGGAACTTTTCGGGTTCAAGAATATCAATCATGAGAACGAAAAAAAAAAAGCTAAAAGGGAAGAGCGAAAAAGGTTACACTGTCTTGAATGCGCCTTTTCCGATCACCTCTTTGTACTGAAAATCAGGATTGGATAGTGTTAGGAGGGGAAAAAGAAACGTCGACAGAGACAATATAATTATATAAGTTCTCGTCTAGATCATCATATGACATATACTCATATATACACTTCATGGTCACACACAAGCCTCGAGAAATTTTTCTTTCTTTCTTTCTTTCCTTTTTTTGTTAACAATCCTCGAGAATATTACCCACCTCGATCAACTATTTTAGAACATCCCTTGTGCAAGATACCGGTTTTATTGATATTACGCCTAATTTCAATGGAAGATGGACTGTACTCTGTTATCCTATTTCCTAACTCCTCTAGCATCAACCTAGAAGAATGTACAAGAATCGAAACGAGAATGCTCGGGATTATGACGAGATCATCTCTCTATACCCACCCGTATGTACCGACAAGTCGGATCGACTTCGAGAATCTCGGGGTCAGGAGGCTCTTGCAGTGCAGAAGAATCCTCTGAGCCATCCATGTTTTACTACCTTCACCTTCAAGCTTACACCAAAAACAACTAACAAAAAGCACAGAATCTTAAATCCGTAAGAAAAAAGGGGAAAAGGTAAACAGGATCTTGATGAGATCATTGGATACTCTTCTAAAGCTGCAACATGTAATGAAAGAAACATACAAAAGAACAATTTATCCCAACAAATTTCTATTCATCCTTAATCGTATTTTCAATCCGGAAAAAAATCCAAAACTTAACCTCGAATCTCATCAATCAGGTAAGGAAAGCGAATTTCCAACTGAATCTTCACAGATTTTATAGAAATCCCCTTTATATTTCTCAAAATTAATCAAACATAAATTGCATTAGCATGAGATGAACAAATAGATTACATAGCTCCAAACCATGGAAGATAATCTCGCGGAAAGAAAAATAATTCAAAAGCAGACACATTCACGATCAACGATAGATGGCTCCAAGTAATCCCCATGAACAAATTTTCGAACAAAAAGCAGAGAGAGAAGGAAAAAATAATGTACGTCAAATATGAACACGAACAAAAATCATCAAGTATAGACGCATATTCACGTACATGCATACACACGAAAAACATGTGACACCATATAAAAACATGCACAGAACGATCAAAAGGTGAGAAATCCAGCAAATTTGTCATGGATCGGAGCTTCGAGTCTACCTGGGCCTTGTTCTGGTTTCTCCGCCTACGCGAGAGCTGGGAAGATAGGAACGAACAATTGGGGACGACAAATCTGAAACCCTAATTTCGTGAAATTCTCGATCGACCAGAGGGGAGACAGGGGAAAATCGAACAAGTGTCGTTCAAGCGAATCGCGAATCACCACCTCGAGATTTTTCACTCGATTTTCTCTCTCTCTCTCCTCCCTTTCATTGGAATCCAAACAAAAAAAAAGACAACGGAGTACATTGTGATATATATATATATATATATATATATATATAAAAACAGATTAAGAAATTCAAATCCTTCTAAAATAAGGAGGGAACGCATGTTTATATTATGCACACGTGGAATTTAATTACTCAGTTTAACTATTTATTGATGACGTGGAATTAAAACCTAATTGGATATTATTTTATGACGATTACAAGAAAATTTCAGTCACATGACTTAATAGTTGCCCAAATCCATAATCCAACAGTCAAAACTTGAAACCCCATATGTCCGATTGCCCCAATCGATTTCCCAACGGACAAAATTCCGATTTCAAAATTTATTTTTTATAGGAAAAAAGCATAATTATCAATAAAGTCAAGAAAAACATATGCAATGCAGACTCTAATAACAGTATATATATACATGCTGAGTTAAACAATAAATTATACGTCATTTGGTTACATTTATTTTTTGTCACTAATTGATTATTTTTTATTGATGAAGGCGAATGGATTGTTTATCATGTGAGATTTTTATGAATTATTTGGGTTTTTTTCGTATAGAATAAAATAATATCATGTAAAAATATGTCAAATTATAAAACAGTTTTTGCTATGATTGATAATTAAAGAAATTAAATAAATAAATTACTTTTTTAGAGTTTCTAATTATAAAAGATATTACTTCTAATATAATAAAGAAGCCAAAACCACAATTTAAAAAAGGAAACAATTTTTTTACATAATAATAGTGATTATGACATGATGGAGAGGATAATGTAAATTTCAAACTATATACATGTTAACCGGTTGATTAAGTTGGTGTTCAATTTTTATCATGTGATTGATTATTTTTGTTAAAAATTGGGTATTTAATAAAATCGGTGAATAAATGATGTGAGATTTATATGGATTACTTAGTTTTTATACCAAAAAAAATAAAATGCAATATAAAAACATCTTAGAGTTGTAAAATAAAAAGGTTCATTAAGAATCTAATTGTTAAAATAAACAAAAAAAAATTAGATCTTCTTAAAAAAATCGATTTTTTTCGAATTTTTTAAAATTCGGTTCGATTTCGAAAAATTCGGTTTCTAAAATTTATATTGTTCCTAAATTTTGGACCATTTGGATTGGAAAAAATACTGTATTTTTCGATTCGGTACGGTTCCCACACTTAATAAAAACATCTTAAAGTATTAAAGTAATCGTAAAATAAAAAAGTTCATTAAGAATCAAATTGTTAAAATAAAGCCATAAAAAAATGGTGACGGTAATATTGTCATGGTTTTATTGAGCCATCTCTACTTATCAGTGCCCATTGGTTGTGTTGTGGTCTCGGATGGTTCTTCAGCAGCTGCCATGGTTTCATCGTCTTTATGCTTCTCTTCATCGATAATGATTCCTTCGCTCTCATTGGACGAAGGCGCCTCGCTGTTCGTGACTCCCGAGGTAGACGCTTCGCCGTCCTTGATACCAGACGAAGACGCCTCGCAGTTTTGGCTCTCCGAGGGAGAGGGATCCCCCTCCTTTCTAGTCACCACGACGATAACGAAACAACGCTCGCCCGATCCGTTCCTAAACGTCCAAACCTGTATCACGTCTTCTTCTTTCAATCCATTAGCGGCCACCAATCCGTTCCAACATGTCGTCCACGCGTACGAATCGCTACCCATCGTCCACTTCCTGAAGTTCGAGTCGTAAACATTCCCCAACGGATCGATCACAAGGACGATGTTTTTGGGCCTTTTTTGCGGCCGTTTTATTTTACTATGCGCCTCCAAAACGTCCTTCTCTTCCGGCGTCAGGAAATCGGGTGCAGATCCCGTCGGAATCGTCAAACGGTTATGATTCGTGGAGAGATCGGTGAACGTCAATGACTTTCTCCCGACCTCCCTTACATCAGTCCCGTTCATCCCAATCACTATCGACTTCATCGGCTCAGGGAGTTCGCTCGGGAACTGTATAGCTGACAGGTCAGCCTTTGGTTTCTTGGGCCGTCTTTTTGCTTTCTCCTTGCCGTTCATGCTTTTTCTTTTCCCGAGTTTCGGATTCGGTGTAGGTCCGGGCATCTCTGTAGGTTCTCTAATCTTGATTCCTTTGACGCCTGTACCCGAACAGTCGGGCAAAACGTGTTTCATAAAGTCTTCGTCGTCCTCCGATGATTCGTCTTCATCGTATGTGTACGGAGGGAAGGATTCTAACCGATCCTCATCATTCGGTAAGCCATTGCTGCAGCTTCCTCTATGGAAAACGTTTTGGGTATGGATTTTCGCTTTACCAGCAGGCTCGATCTCACGAGTAGATCGGATTCCTTCGAAGCGTCTCCCCCTTGAATCCCTTGTGGGACCGCATTGGTCCTCATCGGAATCCTTTTTCTTCGAACCGGTTTCGAATGCACCGGTTAAATTGTCTGGTTTATCAGAACCGGACCGGTTTCCATTATCGGGTTTTGATGTCGAGGTTTCTTCTTCACTCTTCTTCTGCCCCTGCTCCTCCTCTTCTTCTCCTAACAGTTTTTCCAACTCAATCCTTGCCACTTCCAACAAAAACTGAAAGGGAGTCCAGTCCGTGGTATCAGTAACACCTTTAAGATCTTCGTCGGTGATCATCGTTGTCGAATAACACAAGTCAACGACAAAAGTTGAGAGTTAATGAGACAGAAGTCAGAAGCATATTAGTGACGTTATTTATAGAAAAAAACAAATCTTTTTCCCACTGTGAATGGGAAAAAAGAAAAGGAAACTCTGTAACTTTTTCAAACAGATAGATACAAATCTAAAATATGGAATGAAATATCTGTAGCTTTTTTTTTTTTTAATTTAACCCAATCTTGGTTTC